GAGAGAAATATTTCATTTTCATGTGCAATGCTGCCAACTAATTGCAAAGACTTACATTCTCAGTTTTATGGTTGTTTCACCATAATACAATTCACTAAGGTCAGAATTTGTACAAAGGCAAGTATACAAAGCAAAGATTGTTTTGAAAATCAGAATATATTCATTGTTTTCCTCATCTTGTTTCAATCATAGTAAAACTTTGCCTAAAATAAACATTTTTTAAGTCCTTTGAAATCTTTATGGATGTGTGCTGTTGAAACAACATATTCTCACGTAACAAAAATCTACTTGAGATCTGTTGACAAAGAAAAGGTTTACATTCAAATATCTTTAGAGGAAAATCCTCCTAGAGTTACTGAAATGTTCACTGTTCAGATGCTAAAAAAAGAGCTTAATTTAAAAACAGAGAAGGAGTAAATATATATATTCGTTTTGGCCTCAGAAAATCCTTTCATTCATCATTTCTGCGTATCAAGCATGTAAAGAATCAGATTATTGTTTTCATCCTTGGCCAAGTAGTGCAATCATAAAAACATGCATTTAAGAACTGTGGTGTTTTTAGATATGGTAAAAGGTAGCAGTATCTTTAAGTGTAACACAATTTTCATTATTGAATGAAGATGGGGAGAATGGGAAAGCTTCAAACAACAGTAAAGTTTTGCAGCAGGTAATATTCAATTTTTAAGCACATCAACAGTTCTTGTCAGAGGTCTCTAAAGGCACTGGATGAGGCTCTTTGATTGCTGTCTCACCTCAGATTGCTGTTCCTTCTTCCCTGGCCTCGGAAGCTGTAATGAAAAGTAATGATTGTAACTCGACTCCACTCAGTTTTGGTTTATTTTTAAATAAATAAATTGTACAGTTACTGTATTGAATATACAAACACACTACACTTTCCCTTTTGTTCCTACCACTCTGATAATTCTACTAATTTTCTAGATAACCATCTGTTGTGGTTTCACCCTAGCCAGCAGCCGAGCCCCACACAGCTGCTCACTCACTCCCCCACCAGCAGGACTGGGGAGAGAATTGGAAGGTAAAAGCTTGAAAACTCATAGGTTGAGATAAAGACAGTTTAATAGGGAAGGCAAAAGCTCTGCACACAAGCAAAGGAAAACAAGGAATAAATTCACTGCTTCCCATGGTCAGGCAGGTGTTCAGCCATCTCCAGGAGAGCAGGGCCCCGTAACGGGTAACGGTGACTCGGGAAGACAAATGTCATCACTCCAAATGTGCCCCCTTTCCTTCTTCTTCCTTCTACTTTATATACTGAGCACAATTCCATGGTATGGAATATCTCTTCAGTCAGTTCAGGTCACCTGTCCCGGCTATCTCCTCCCAACCTGCCATGCACCCCCAACTTTCTTGCCAGCGTGGCAGTACGAAAAGCAGAAAAGGCCTTGGCTCTGTGTAAGCACTGCCCAGCAAAACCAAAAACATCTCTGTTATCAACCCTGTGTTCAGCACAGATCCAAACCACCACCCCATACCAGCCACGGTGAAGAAAATTAACTCTACCCCTGCCAAAACCAACACAGCATCTGACAATATCACTTTTCTTGGAAATATGCCATATCAGACAGTGACCACGGTATATCCAACAAGTATCATACAGCAATTCATGTGGAAAAGATTCAAATTTGGACAAATTTTTATATGCAATACAGCTCTGCATTCCAAGCATGTTTTGAAAATATGTCCTCTTGCCTTTGTGAAATGACAAGGGACATTTCCCAGACCAGTGGTTCTGTAGAGGAGCTGGGATTTATTAGACTAAATAAATAGGAATATTAAAATTGAATAGAAGGAAAATCATTAGTAGGGCACAATAAAAATAGAGAACCTAATTATAATAATGAAGTGAAACAGAATGTCTAGTCATAATATGCTACCATTTTTATTGACATGGTAAAGATTCAGCCTGCAATGGAAATCCATCAATGACCTCTTCCTTATGTTCTTGTGTTATTTATACTGATTTATGGTGTAATCCTCAAGTATGAAATATCTACCATAGCGTCAAGAGTCAAACAGAGTCAAACTCAAACTTTCATCCCAAGAAGCTGAATTTAATGCAGTTTCTTGTCAGTAAAGTGAAGGGAAAAATCTCAGAAGTGAGAGTGGTAAGCACATAATGGAAGTTTGCAGGGATTTCCTATGTCAAGTTTACAGTGATTTTTCACAGACTTCAATGCACTTTGTCTCCTTCATCAGCCTTCTGAGTTGCACATACTGTTGCATGGCTTTACTTTCTGGTGTATTGAGATAAGCTTTAGAGGTCTGAAATTCTTTAACCTGAAAGGTACCCTTTGCACTCAAAAACAAAACGACATGTTACAGCCATCTGACCGAGTGACATTATTTCCCCAATCCTGAGACAGACACTAAGAGTTATTCAGTCATGTCTCCAAGAATCTCAGTTCTCTAATTTACCCATAAAAATGGAAATATTTGGCCATTTTACAATGTGTGTTAGTGGTATTTATTTGCTGTGAAAACACAACACTTGTGGAATTACTGCTAATCGAGTTAGTAAAAAAAGCACGCATTCATATTCTTGTTGTCCCTGTTAAAACATCTGCAATTTTATTTCTGATTTTATTGTTATTGCTGATCACATGAAACTACGAGGCTAAAAGAAATTCAAAGAGATTTTTTGTAACAAAAATCTTTCAACACATATGGTATTACTAATTTTCTTTTTCATTCCAGCAATTGGAGCTCTTGTTCTTATTTAACAGATATACCATTCCAAGTGGTTTTGTCTTCATTAACAGCCATAAAAAAAAATCAAATAAAATCAAAATCCTTCATGAAAGGGTTACCACAATAAACTACAATTACATGGAGTAATACCCACAGCACACCCACATCATCTTACTTCTGTCTTCTCTGGGCAAAGCCTCCTCCATCAATTTCTTACGGTATCCATTTCTTTGGGTATTACTTATCCCTTCAAAACAGCTAATTTTTTTCATGCCCCATCACAGGAATCTTTGTTTTAAGGGTTAATTTTCATTATTTCAATTATTTGAATAGCACTGTCTCACGAACTTGCAGGAAGGATGACTGCTGCTCTCTTCCCCCTTTGGCTGAGTCAATAGTTCATCAAAGGACTGCTGAGCTCTTCGACCCTCTAGCATCCTAGGTGCCACAGGAGCCAAAAAAAGGCATGGAAAACTTCTGGAGTCAGTACAACTATTTACTCTTTGCATGCTCTGCAGTTTTTTGTTTTGTTGTGGAGGTTTTGTGGTTTTGGTTGGTTGGTTGGTTGGTTGGTTGGGTTTTTTTACTACAAATATGATACTTCGGACAGTATGAGACTATGGATGTGTGTTATGACGGAAAAAGTGCTGTTCTCCAGTCACTTGTCTTAGTTTACAGATATTCTTTCACAGCCTCAGTATGTAAAACCACGTAAATCTAAACTGGTAGCTATAAAGAACCAACACTGGTTTATTTGCATACCAAACACACCCCCTTGTGCTCTTATAGGCCACAGCAGTGATTTTGTTTGCAAGAAAACTGGCAAAGAAATATTAACTTTCTTGCTATTCATTTCCTGGCTTCTATTAAATCAAGGAAATAACCTACAAGCTTTTAGTCTAACATTCAAGTTGGCAGACATGAGAAATGAGTGCTACTAAGTTTCTGTGCTCTGAAAATTATTCCTTGACTTAATGCACGAAGTGAAGAAGAGAAAGAGCTGGCACATGTAGCACACTTTGGTGAACACCCTTTCTCAAGAACATCCACAATAAGATTATACGGTGTCACATGTGACACAGTTAAACCAATTCTCAAAGAAGACAGAGCTTTTTAACCCTTTGGATCAGCTGATTAGTACATCTGACCTTCTGAATCCCACTTACACTAAAACTACAGGAAGTTTAAGGAAAAATACCTTTCGAATTTAATTCCACTACAGTGGGTGACATTTTATTGTACTATTTTGTAAGAGATTGTTAACGAGCTGTGGGCTGTAATGAACAGTTGGTTTTTTATGTTTGGAAAGAACAAGCTGTAACAGTAACCACAGTGTGGAAACTGATCTTACTTGGCCTCACCTACACAGGAAAACCAATTTAATACAAACTGCTGGAAAATAGGTTTCTTTCTGCAGCAACCACTTCTCTTCCTTTGCAAGACTCAGAAAAGCAGGTTCAATATTTTGAGTTCTGTTTTGAGTATGACAAGCCATTACTGACAAATGAAAGTGCCTCAGTGCTTATATAGGCTGTGAGTTGTAAGGACAAGGCAAATGTGCTCTACCAGCAGTTTTTAGATATTAGGTCTCTCCCTATATTTCTAGTCAAGCTTTCATTCCCTGAACTCTTTTTCATGGACTGAACACATTGTGCAGCCTGGTATCAAAGATCACAAAACACCCAGAGCTGGAAGGAACCAATAAGGATCATCGAAATCCAACTCCTGGCCCTGCGTGGGTCACCAAGAGTCACCACGGGACACCATGTGCCAGAGAGTACTGTCCAAACACTTCTTAAACTCTTGTCAGGCTTGGTGCTGTGACCACTTCCCTAGGGAGCCTGTGCCAGCACCCAACCACCCTCTGGGTGAAGAATCTTTCCCTAATATCCGACTTAAACCTCTGCTTGACACAGCTTCATGGAGAGCTTCATGGGGAGGCATTTCCAGTTTCACCCAGAAATACTTTTCTCATCACTTCACCTGTACCTTTCACTTACCAAAGGCACTTCCCACTCTCCAGAGGCGGCGCGCGCATACACCTCGAGAGCTGCGGGGAAGGACACAAACATGACTCCTGCAGGACCTAAGGCAGACGAAGAAGACCCACAGCGTTTGTAGACCCCCCTCCCAGCCGCCCGACCCTGGTGGGCCACCCCCGACCCCAATCCCTCTGCCTGTGGCAGTGACACGCGGGCGGGACCAGCCGGCGGGCGCAAGCAGCCCCCGGCCGCCATTTCCTCGCCCTTCCTCGGGCAGCGCCGTGCCTGGTGCCCGCCGCGCTCCGTCCCCGCCCCGCAGCCCCGCCATGGGTCCCGCCCAGCGCACGGCGCCGTTACGATATCGGCTGAGCTCCTCCTCTTCCTCCCCCTCCTCTCTGCCCCGCCGCCGGGATGCCGAAGCTTAGCAAGGAGGCCAAGCAGCGGTTACAGCAGCTCTTCAAGGGCGGCCAGTTCGCCATCCGCTGGGGCTTCATCCCCGTGGTGCTCTACCTCGGTCAGTGCCGGGCGGGCGGGGGCCGCGCGGGGGGCGCTCGGCGGCCATGACCGGAGTGGGGGCCGGAGCCAGGGCGGGCTGCGGAGCCTGGGTGGCTCCGCTCGCCGCTCTCCGCCCCCCGGCCCGTCCGGGCGCTGCCGCCCGCCGGGGAGCGGCGGGGGCGAGGAAGGGCCCGACAGGGCAGGACCGCCCCGCTGCCCGGGCCCCGCGGCCATGGCCGCGCATGTGCAGAGGGGCAGGGCCGGGGTTGCCCTTGGCAGAGCTGCGGGGCAGTGAGGCTTCGTGTTGGGTGGTGGTTTTGTTGTGGGTTTCTTTTTTTTCCTTTCCTTATAAAGAAGAAGAGTGTGGCCAGCGGGTCGAGGGAGGTGATTCTCCCCCGCTACTCGGCCCCAGTGAGGCCACATCTGGAGTTCTGGGCTCCTTAGTACAGGAAGGACAAGGACCTACTGGAGAGGGTCCAGCAGAGGGTTACGAAAATGATGAGGAGTCTCGTCTCTCTTACGAGGAGAGGCTGCAGGAGCTGGGCCTCTTTAGTCTAGACAAGAGAAGACCGAGAGGGAATCTCATTAATGCATATAAATATTTCAAAGGGAGATGCCAAGAGGACGGTGCCAAACTCCTTCCAGTGGTGCCCAGTGACAGGACAAGGAGCAATGGCCATAAACGAAAATGCAAGAAATTTCACCTCATCATGAGGGAGGAACTTTTGTACGTTGAGGGTGGCAGAGCACTGGAACAGGCTGTGCAGGGAGGTCATGGAGTCTCCTTCTCTGGAGACATTCAAAACCCACCTGAACACATTCCTGTGTAATGAGCGCTAGGTGACCCTACCTTGGCAGGGAGGTTGAACTAAATGATCACCAGAGATCCCTTCCAACCCTAACAGGTCTGTGATTCTGTAATAAAGAGTTTTCTGCTCCTTTTCCTCCCTGGAGGCTGTTTCTGATCTGTGTGTGTCCAGTGATGGGAGAGCCCCTCAGGGGAGCAGGCAGAGCAGGTACCCAAGCGGCGAAACAGCAGACGGAGCTGTGATTTAACCTGTGTCAGTGACCAGCTGCTTCTGTAGGCGAGGCTGTGTTCCGTGCTCAGGGAGGAAAAAGCTGCCAAGTGATGGGAGTGCTGATTTGTGGCACTGAGGGGGTTGCCAGCCTCTGGCTAAGGTTGAATTTCCAGCATAATGTACAGGTTACGGTCTCTCTCCCACCCAAAATGGGACTCCTGTTTCCAAATTGCAGTGGAACATTCAGGGGATGCCTTGATGTCGTGCCTGGTGCCCGGGATGTATTTCACTTGCTCCTGTCATGGGACTGGGCAGGTGTCACTACCACATGGTAGTTCTGCTGAGTTAGGGCTCTGTGCCATCAGCTGTCCTTATTAAAGAGCCTGACCCACTTAAGATAGGCAATGTGCCATAGGCCTGACACTTGTTCACTTCTTTTATTACAGGGCGCCCCAGAAAGGCTGATCCCTGCAATTCATCTGGCTTACTTTCTGCCCAGACTCAGTTGGGCCTTTTGGGAAAAGTAGCTAAACCAGGCAGGCATCTCTGCGTGGAACACAAACATGAAGGAGAGCCGGGAGCTTAATGTATTTACAGTCAAATCTGATAGGTTGTTTTGCTTAATTGAGGGGAATGCAGTGTCCAGTTTGAAGGGCTTTAATTGTTCATAGATAACAATCAGGGAAAAGTTGGTCTCTTCAACTGTTGCAGAAGTGCTTTAACAAAAACTACAAGAAAGTCACTTCAAAAACTATGGAAAAAAACTAATTGGCATTATTAGGTTTAAACTTTAATTGCATTTCCATTTTTAGTTTATAATTTATTTAAATTTATAAGTATTGGGTGGGAATTTCAGCAGTGTTTTGTGACGCGATTTTGCTGTTGCTGAAGTTTTGTTTTGATTTTACTTTCAAGACAGTATCTGTGGATATGGGAAAGATGCTCTTTGTTCTGAGTGACATCAGAGGACATTAAATACTTAATACTTACTGTATAAACTTCAAGTTATATAAAGCCATCTTACTGTATTTACAGTTGCACTAATGTCAGGCTGCCTACTACAATTTTGCTATGTAGCAGTGAGAAACTCAAATCGTAGTAGTTCGGGTTCATACCTCCAGAAAATAAGTGTGCCGTTCCATGTCTGCATTGCCTTCTTATAAATTTGCCTGCAGTATTGAAAGAACATTAAGTATAAGCAGATGGGAAGGGGATGTGTAGATGCTAGCTTTGCTTGCCATAGACATTTGGAGGTGGCATGCATTCGAAGCCTAAAGGATTGAAAGAACCTCTTCTATGCTGGGATTACGTTTGAATCTGGGAGGGAAGGTGTGACGCAGTGGAAAGGCAAGAGGCTACACAGTAGTTAGTGTCGCTGATTGAAGGGCAGTTTTTTTATTGATCCCTGTGTAGAAGAAATACATGCTAAACTAAACGTAGGCAAGGAAATGTTCAGCAAATCTGAGCTTTTAATTTCCTCTGAAAGGCTTTCTAGCTCAGGATGGGATGCTCCAGGGCTGTACAAGGGAGCCTGGTATGTGAATGTGCAATTATAAGTCATTGGGGGTTTTTTGTTGTATTTTTTTAAACTTGCTTTGAAGTGGCTGCCCTGGTTTTAAGTTGATAAATTAGATCAGTGTAGTTTTGTTAAACCTGGTTTGCTTATTTAAAAATAATGGGGGTGGAGGGAAAGGAGCCAGAAACATTCACACACACACAGAGTGTGACTTGTAATACAACTTCATGAATTTTAAAGCTGTGTTGCTGGACAGTATGGCAACCAAACAACTTGTATCAGGGTATTTGATAGTCTCAAATCATGCAGGGTTATCTTCAGAGAGCTTTTCCTTTGCCTGTGAAGTTAATGGAAGTTTTCCCATTAACCTTTGTGGCCTGTGTTTTGGGCAAGGTGACATAAATTATTTATTTTCTGTAAATAAGGGAAATAATATACTTTTCATAAATTATCCACATGTAGATAGCCCATGTAGGAGGGAGTGTGTTGAACAGTGCCTGAATTGTGTGATTCTCCTTCAAGATTTTTAATTTACAGTCCAGGGAGCAAAGATACTTCATATATTAACCCTTAGTTGCTTCTCCAGCATTTGTTTACTTTAGTCAGTTGGTATTTGAGTCATTAGCTGGGGTGAACTCTTTGTAATTAACTTTCATTTTCCTGGGTGTTAGTAGATTGACAAACATCTTGTTTGTTTGCAAGCTTTAGTACTATGTAGCTTTTCAAAAAAATGCCAGTCAAAATAGAAGATTGGAGGTTTCATTGATTTAACATTTAGAATTGTGTCATCCTAAATTGAGTGAATTGTTACTGAAAAACTGCCTTTAAGTTCTGCATCAGATGTCATTGCAGAATGTTGCCTGTTAGGCCTCAAGGTGCTCGTTTATACCAGGTATAGGCATTTCTGTTGGTAGGGCCTTGGCTGCTTTCTGAATATCATCTAAAATCTGTGTGTGTAAAGCTGCGTCTTGCTCTTCAGGGTAGATCTCACAGGTAGTTGACCCTGAATTTTAAGTCAGGTGAAGATGCAGGTAAGACTTAAAAAAAAAAAGTACACTTGTGTTTATTTTCTCTGCTTTCTAACCCTGATAAGAATGTACAGTTTTTTTCATGTTAGTGCACAGCTTCATGAATCATAGTTCTCTATTAAGTAGTTTTTTCTTATTGCAATTTAATGGGCTGGAATAATTATATAGTGATTTAAGTAGGAGTTTGCACATACATATTTTTATATATATGTATGTAATGTATGTTTCACTTCAGGTTTTAAAAGAGGTGCAGATCCTGGAATGCCTGAGCCAACTATCTGGAGGTATGTATTGGTTCTGCATGTATTTACAAACCCAGTGCAGATAGTTACTGGTTTGGGTGTTGTCTCTGCACAACAGTTGTGAATATTGTGTTCATCCTTTGTTTTTAGTGTTGTGGTTCTTGTTTATTTAGAAATCCAAATGACAAGTCAGCAAAGCTCTACTTCTTGGGAGGGCCTTTCTCTTAATCTGACATGGCTTTTAATATATGGAACTTGCTGTACCTTTTGAGTGGCAGCTGCCCTTCTGACAATCTGTTGTAGAGCTAGTTTGTGCAAGTTTCTGCACTGAGGAGTAACTTCCCAGCTTTCTAGCACAAATTTAAAACACAACCTAATCTCCTTTGGCCTTTGCAAATGAGGTACTAGAGCTACATAAAAGCTGCATGAAATAAAGGCCTATATCCTTCAATATTAGTCACTGTCATGAAGCAAAGTGCATTTGTTCATGTTGCCTTTTTCTTAGTGCTACATGTCATGGCATTAGTAATGCTTACGTTCTAGTGGTATTTGAGTTTTATTGAAGGGCTTCTATGGATCAAACTAAGTAAAGTTATGAAGAAAGGGTGACTCTTCAATTTTTCTTGAAATACTTTTGATTACTATGCAGGACCAGGTATTCCTAAAACAAATTGGACTGTATTGTTTTCAAAAATCACACATTAACTCTTCTAGCTTCACATAGTTACAGTGAATGGAAATCCCATTTTTAGGATTCAGTGATTCAGTAGAAACAGTAGAAAGCATGGGGGAAAAAGTGTCAAGTTCATGTTTCAATTTCGGTAGAATCTTCAGTTGTCTTAAGAACTAAGTTGCTGCAGTTGTTTGCTTGCTGACAGTGTTTCTGTGTTTTTCTATGTTTAGCTTCGCTAGCAGTTTGAGACTTTTTATCTTGGTCCACTGAGTAAAATATGTATTTCATACCAGAATATATGTACATAGATACCAGAAGCAGATGTTTGGGCTAATCTGAAGCTTACAGACACTTATTTTCCCGAGCACATATTTGTGCTCTGTAGGCTTAAATTTTGAATTAATGGCATTATTTCATTATTTTGGAGCTTATCATTTATCCTGTACATTTATAGAGCTGTTCCTTCAGAATTGTGTTTTACAAATATCAATTTAAAAACAAGTACATGCTGCAAATCTGACTTTCATTTCCCTCCCCCCTCCCCTTTCAGTCTACTTTGGGGATGAAGGATGTGGTGGTCCTGTTCTAGAACCAGCGGATGAACAGAGAGTGTCTGAAGATACGTACATTCCAGAGGATGAGGCCAACACTTAGACCAGCTGGCACAATCAGCTTGCTAATGACATAGGTTGTACATATAACAAAATGGAGTTTATATGGACCTAACTTATTTACATTACAGTGTAATTAAATAAATACAATTCGAATGGATAAACGTTGTTTTTAAGTCTTTAAATAAGTATAAGTATAGTAATTTCTTTATGACAGGAGGATAACCCATGGTGTGGGTTCTGTTTTGTTGATTTTTTTTTTTCCAAAATATGTTGATATTCAAGCCCCATATTTATCTCTTTTATGATCATATTTTGGGTAAAGAGTCCTCTTTGTCCTCACAGTAACCAGAAAACTGAGCTAATGTTTTAAATACTTTGGTATTCTTCAAAGATTCCTTCCCCAAGTATTGGTAAGCCTCTGCGACTGGTTACTGTGCTGACCTGTTTAAGTTTTTTCCCTCCTCAGATATTTTTTTTTACTAGCACAGTCAGATAGTAAGTATACTTTTCTGCCAAATTGACCTTTAAATACTATCTGTGTTTCCTGGGATTTAGGATGGAGGGGAAGGATACAACAGGAGTGCTCTGTGTGCGCATGTATATAGTGCTCTTAAGTGTAAGAGGAAGTTATTAATGTATAACTGAAGGAAGAAATCAAGTACACTAACAAGGTATATGCTTCATTTTTATGCTGAAGGTTGGTTTTCTCCCTTTTTCAGTTGGTTTTCTCCCTTTTTAACACCGAAGTTCAAGCACTAAAATGGTGACCATATGGTTTCTGTTAAATAAAAGCTGGGTAGTTGGGTAGTTTGCTCTCTCCCCTCCAGAACTTTGCAGGCTAATTTGTATCTCTACAGTGATTTTTGAAAAAAATGTTTACTGGCCCCAAATTATGATTGCAATGAAGGTAATCTACATTTTGGCTTGGCTTTTTTTTTTTTTAATCCTCATAGGTTTTCAGATAATTTTTACAGTAATTAAATGTTTAAGGAATAGGGATTCCTCAGTTTTTAATCTGCCATGAAAATCCATGGTAAACTGTTACTGTGTTTAAGGGCAGACATGACTGGAAAAAAATGAGAATGAGGCAAGAGAAAAAAATTAAATTGAAAGACAAGAATTGGGAAGGAAAAAAGTAGAAACATTTATGAGGGTTAATGCAAACCACCATGTTCCTTAAAATTCCATTAATCATGATAATTTAATCAAATATTATGAAATAGAGGAATAGCTAATGATAATAGTCTGCTGACAGGGGAATAGAGCAAGGACTGAATGCAGAACATTTTCTTGTGAGTATATCCTTTTGCTATTTCAGCTTTTCTGATGGTAACTTGAGATTAATGTAACCACTCATATATCTTAAATTATGAAAGGAATTCAAATTCTGATCCTTTTTCTTGACCGATCCTAATTACAACAGTAATGAAATAATCTGTTGGTACTTGATAGTGGCTTTAATCATGATCAGGAACATTTTTCTTCTCTTGAATCTGGTGTAACAACCTGAGATATTCAGTACTAATACTGTTCAGTTCAGCGTGAAGTAACTCAGATTTCTCCATTAGATTTTGCGTTTCACAAGGGTGTACAATACCCAAAATGCAGCAGTGGGTAGATAGACCCAAACACCCACAGTGGTGTATTTCATGTCTTCTCTTCTGTGTCAGCCATTTTGGGGATGTGGTTTGTGGGTCTTAACCGCCACATGGTTGCTCTGGATGCTTTCCAAGAATGATAGTATTTGGCAAGAGGAAGCGAAGCAGGGAAGTGTCCTTACCTCTTTCATTAAAAGTTTTACAAAAGCACGGATATGTCAGGCATAGGCCAGATTCTGTGACCTCCCCATCCCAAAATTTTTTTTTTAAAGAATAGTTGCAGTTCAGTTTTTTTGAGACTTGGAATGATTGGATTAGTGTTGCTTATGTGGTTCTTGCTTTAAGCACATTGGATAGCAAACTTTTGGTAATTCACTGCTACGCAAGTATCTTTCAGGAAAGTCATTAGCATAGAACCCTTGGGTTTTCAAATTGAGCGGACAAAAAGTCTTTCGTGCCACCTTCAAGTCAAGTTAAATGGAATGCCAATATGTAGTATTTTTCATTTACACATCCAGATTTTAATTCCATGTAGTGTGCTTTCTGTAATTAAAAGGTGAGTGAAACTCCTTAAATAAACACTCATTTTTTTCCTGGGGGAAAAAAAAAAAGTAGTATTAATTGTAAATCTTGGTAATTAATTGTAAGGTAGCAAAACTGTTTATGTTTAAAAATGTTTGCTACCAAAGATGTCTTCATTTTTAATGTTTTGAAGTTACTTTGCCGGTTTTGTCATTTTCACAGAATTTGGATGTTCTTATAAGGGCAGATTAGTGTTCTGTGAAGCTGTACATTAAATAGATTCCTATGAAGAATCTTAATTCCCTACGATAAGTTCAGCAAATATGCTAGTTTTAGCAAGACTGAGGAGTTTCGGTGGTCCTAGGGAGAAGAGGGCAGGTCTCTGGAGTGAAAGGGAAGGACATTCATGTTTTTCAAGGCTGTGGACTGGGGACTTAGGTGTTATTTGTTCCAAGTGTTTTAATCTATGATTTTTGCCTTTCCGTCTTTGTCCCAGTAAAACTTGAGAAAATTTTGTTTTGCTGTCAGATGGGAGACACTTAGAAAAGAACAAATATGATCTCCCCTGCTTCACTGTATCAGTCTCTGTCAGTGAATCAGTGGCTTCCACAGCCAAATACGGACTCTTTTCTGTGGCGGGGTTTGTGATGCAGTCCTGTAAGACCACATGTGAACTCAGTGTTGGAATAAACTCAGTGAGTGTAGTTTACTGAAACTTGAGCTCTGACTTCCACAGCTGAGCTCAAGGCTGCAGTTGAGATGTGTGAAATAAAATCATTGATGCCTTGCTGTGTTTTGTGAAGATTGTACTAACTTTGGGGTGTCCAGTTGATCTTACCTGGAGATAGGGATTGGTCGGCTTAGCACTTTGTGGCTTCAAAGTGGAAGTGGAGCATGCTTGTGGTTGTTTTAGTGTCAGGGAAATAACGAAAGTGGGAGGCTGTCTCTGGAGCCTGTTGTACCTGGTGACAAACAATTGCACAAGCGACCAGAGGAGTGTCTCCATCTGGACCAGTCTTAGGAAGATCAAAGGTTACTCTGCTCAGTGTCCTGCTTGCCATAAGTGAAGGCATCTTGAGGATTTTAATGCAAGAAGAATGCCCCATTCTCTGTCTAAAGTGACCTGCAGTCCTGTGCCCATGGTCCTTTTACATCTTGTCAGAAGGTGCTGCTCTGTCTCTTGGTCTCCTCCTAGGAAAGACACAAAGGTAGCAGTGGCTTTCCTTTAGTCTCCAAGGTGTCTGTGAACAAAGGATTGTTCTTAACTCAGGACTGAAGGAATGGGCTGTTTCTCCTCCATCCAAAAACCATGCTGGTTTTTGTGAGTGAAAAACCAGCAAAGTCCCAGGAGCTTATGGTGGGCAAGGAGCAATACAGTATCCTGCCAGCTGAATAGCTTGTTTGCTGGCACGCTGTCTGCAAGAGCTGCTGGTGGTTTTACCATTCAGGAACAATTTCTGTATTTTTTATCATTCCTATATTTTCTTAAAACTGCCTCTCCCATTACTGTATTGAAATGAAGTCAGAAGATCAGATACAACCTGGTACTGTTTGGTAATCATGGTGGGCAGAAGCTCCAGCACTCGGTGCTGACAGGCCTTTTAGCAAAGCATCTCCTGCCAGCTCAGCTCTGAGGAGTGGCCCTGGGGTGTGGGCATAGCAAGCAATGCAAAGGGGGATAAAGACAGGCTAAGAGACAAGGAGGAAGGAAGGTAGGGAGAGAATTAGGGCTCTGAAAAGGGAATAAAGACAAGGAGGTCAGTCAGAACAACAACAAAGGGTTTTAATCATGGACAAGACTTTTAAAGGTGGTGAAGTGAGAAGTGAGAAAAAAGCATGCACATCAGAGGAGCCACAGAGCCCTGCGGGGCTTCTGTGATACTTGGTGTGCAATCCTGAGGGAGTCTTGAGTTTGGTGGTTTTCTTGGTGTTTGGCCCGTGGATCTCCTGGTAGTAGGCTGTGAAAAAACAGTCAGTGTAGTGTCATCACTAAACAAAGGAGAAAAAAAATATCTGGATTTCAGTATAAATTTGTTCTTAATAAGTTAATCTACAAAGGAACCTACATGTTTACTCTAACAGCTCTTCAAGGATGGCCAGCTGTGAGGCAAAGTTAAGGTGATAGGAAATTTGGAATAGGTATTTCCTTCTGATACAAATTCCTGGTGTAGACGTGGCTGGTACAAAGTAACTGTGCTGTTATCTCATCAGTTATAAAAGAGAGGCTATCTCCTTTTTTTTGTTAATTAATTCATGAGCAAAACTCCTATTAGTTTAAACTGTAGCTTTTAAACACATAAACACTGCAGACCAAAGCAATGTTCAGAGTTTTGTCACAACAGGCCCCAGTGTTGGCGACATGTAAAACCTGTCCTTTGCTGCTTTGTACGACTGTCTTCCAAAATGGCTGTGGGTGACAAAATGCTGCTTAAGATCAAGTCTTCTTGCATTGTGTTGTAAGTGAAACAGAGATCTATCATATTGGCTTTATATATAAAGCATATACCAGGGATATTTTTTGAACTATTTTGTTACAGGCTTGGAATTTAAGCTATGATGATACTAATGATATTTGGAAATTAAAGCTCATTACATCAGTTTTCACCACAGGAATAGAGATCACATCCTGTTAAACATCATATGACTAATTTTTGCAAATAACCACTTAATTACAATTTCTAAATACTTTTCCATGATGGCCTGTGATGCAATAGCCATGTCTTGGTTAAGCTTGTGGGTTACATGCATTGTTTCCTGGTTATGCTTATATTAATTCAGGATTAGAGAATGGGTGAGATGGAGGGAATGCTTATCTGCTAAGTGCAAAAGGGTATTTTCTAAAAGGGTATCTGCTAAGTGGAAAAGGATATTTTGGCAAGGCAAATCAAATCTCAGTCTTCTGATTCTGAAAATAAATGTTTAATATTTTTAAAAATGGATTTTCTCATGAAAGACTGAATCTTCTTAAATTCTGGTCACTGAATAGAAATTCAGATTGCAAAATTCCTGTAGTGTGTTTTCTGATGACTGCCAAGGTCAGTCTTGAAAATATGCCAAGATTTGGTTAAATACGTTTAGATTGCAGGAATTGGTTTTGCTAGGAGTTCGGGGAGAAAGTGGTACTTCAGTGTTGAAGCCTGCAGAGGTTGCATTTCTGGGGAACAAGGGGGTGGGTTTTGGTTTTCCTCTTATCAAAGAGAAATAAGTTGTTATCTAATCATTTGACTTGAGAAGCAAGGGTTTACAGAAAGCTTCCCACCCAATATCATAAGGTTTGTAGTTTATATATATATATATATATATATATATATTTGGCAGCACCTCCTGACACACAGGATGTGACTTTGATATATACCACTGCATACTTACATTTCCACCATTTTATCTTTTAAATCGACTGTGGAAAAGATTATTAGTCACAAATAACAGTGGCAAACTTAGGGGGAAGTTTCCCAGCAAGCTAAGACAACCTAATGGCTTGTTACTGCTGAAAAGTGATCCTGCTCCTATGCTTTTCTGGTGGCATAACTCTTCCATCTCTTGTAGTGTCAGCTTGGTTTTGCTAACCTCACTTACTGTCATCTATTAATAAAATCTGTGAAAGTATTAGACATGCAGGCAGTCTCTCAAGTAGCTGTTGTTCTTTCTGCCAAAATTTGGTTTTTGCAGCGGTACATAGGCTTACTGGGTAGGGGATAGTACTGCAACCTGAGAAGTCGGTCAGGCTGGAATGTTTTAACTTTTTTTTTCTTAGAAGTTTTTTACACAGAAGAAGCATGGTAAAAAAAATTGAAAAATGATACTTCAGAGACTGTAATTGGAAAAAAAAGTATTTTTGTATTACAGATGACTTTAATATTAGGTTGCATTCTGTCTTTTTAATTTTTTGTTGTTGTTGTTTCGATTGTTTGGGTTTTTTCCCTCTCTTGTCCAGCATTCTACTCTTATGGCAGCATTGTTAACACTGTTTCTTAATACTGTGGACTTTTTCTTGCATAGAGTGTATGCATACTTTTCAACATAGCTTCACCTTCTTCCTGCATTGGGATTTCAAAATCAGGATGAAGGGAGCTGCTAATCTGTTGAGCATTCCAGAATCTCAGTATGGGGTTACTGAGTAGGGATGCAGTGGAAGGGGAAGGGCTAGCAGGGATCTGTAGGGCAGAGCTGGTCCTGTACAGCAGCAGCCAGAATGCTGCTTTGTGTGCTAATTTCCTTTTTTTTTTGGTAATTATTAGCAGGTCTTTTTTTGTTTGGGTTGGTTTGGGGTTTTTTTGTCATTATTTTGTTTTTTAGGGTTTTTTTGCCTTGCTCAGTGAGTTAGCTGTCAATTAGGAGGAGCTCTCTTCTATTGAAGTGTTGAGGTATTTCATTGTGGCTAAATGTAGTTAGGAATGCCCATTTTTACTCTTGTTCTGTTTTTTTACGTGTTTGCACTGGTCTGCCAACTAAAATAAATGCCTATGTGTGTTTTTTTAATTGATGAAAAATACTTCCTACACAGCAAACTGGATAAAGGATGACTAGTTGGGTCATTTGAGAGGCCCCATAACATGCTCAACAATGTTTAGGTCTCCTCTGACTTCCATCTGAATTCCCCACTGCAAATCTTCCTGTGCCACAAGCACCGGTGAGCGTTGGTTTCAGCAAGCAGTGCTTATCCTGGCAGCAGTCCCTGAAGTTGGCACTGTGACAGCAGTGATGGCCAGCAAAGCAGCTGCTGCATTGAAGTGCTCTGAGAATTGCAGGTGGCTGTGGAGGAGCCACGTGTAAAATAATGACAGCTCCGCAGCAGCACCAGCGATATCCTACACTCCAGGAAGGACTCAAAAGTTGACCTCCCCACCAAACAAGTGGTGATCTTTGCTCATCTTCTACATCCTCAAATGTGGCAGCATTTAGATCTTTATTACAGTTGCAGACCACCTGGAGTGGCTGCCAGCTGAAGAGGTGTGGGTGCTTGTCTATCAATTGCAAGGGATTTCAGTACCTCCATTCATAGATGCTTTCTGGCCTTTAAGGAGATGAGTGCAAGTTTGTTTTGCTCCAGTGTACATAAGTAGTTAATGGTGATCTCAGGCAGCCACCTTCTACTGGGAGAGGTGAAACCAGGAAATGCCTTTCCTTTTGGTCAGTCTTTATTTTTTTCTCCTTTCTGTTCTCACATAGTAATAAGGTCGGGTGTGGGATCCACATTTGGGTCTCATAGCTGTTATTGTGATAATAAGGGCCGGAATGATCACTAACCAAATGGTCACTAAAAAAAAAATCTCTGTGAAAGGAAGCAGTGAAAAAGCCAAACCAGGCTTTCCTATGTTTCCTAGCATGTGCCAGGACAGCTAGAGCAGGATCTTGCGTGCTGTGAGAAAAATGGTTCACCACAAACATCTTTAAAGTGACCACCTTGAGGTCTCCTCATTCTTTCTCAAGATGTTGCACAACTTAAGATGACAGTTTTACCATATTGGGCAAAGCAGTGGTTTTGTTTGTTTAGAGCATCTGAAATGTGGGTTGTGAGTGAACTGGTCACTGTTTTGGCATCCCCAGTGGTGGAATGCATATGTGGACAATCAGATCGCTCAGAGGAAGAGGAGAATTTACTGGCATCCTTATCCACATTCCAGGGCATGCCTTTCATCTCCTCATCTTCACTGCTGTGCTGGAAGAAAAAGAGAGAGGGTAATTAATATTCTATGAATTTTAGAGACAAAACTCGAGTGACTTTTGCTGCCTGCATCCATTGTGAGGCCTGTGAATTCCTCAAAGTTTGGGTGTACCTGGTAGTTGCACAGCTCCAGTGCTGCAGGTGATGCAGCTAAGGAAAGTTTCAGCAGTTTGATACTCAGGCTTAGGTCTTGTTTTGTTTTGTTTTTTTTCTATACAGTATTCAAGAATATGCATTCGTGGTTTGTGGCCTGTCCATCCTAGTGGAATATAAAAGACAGATGCATTGTATCATCCATGGTCATTGACATCTCAGCAGCAATATGTTGATTTATAGCACCTAAGGAAAGAACCTAAGATTTTTTTTCTGCTTCTTGAGAGAGGAGGGAGAAATGTTTAATCAAACTTGGAAAATTCCCTTGGATGACAGCAATAAAACTAGTCAAAGATAGTATTCATGTCAAAGTGGTTAATGTGGTTGTCTCACCATTTTATTTATTTAAAAGAGATTGTTAAACTTGTAAGAAGATCCAAACAATTACAGTTTTATGGAGTTTTCCTTATTAAATATAGGGGACTTATTGTTCATTTGTTTCTCAGGAGCAATGGTAGTTTATTGTGTACACTGTTAAGTTCCATGTTCACGACATCTGGTTCCTTTATATCCAATTTTATGAATTATATGTTGACCAAGTTGTCTGTGTATGTGTGTACATACATGCTATGTAGATAACTGAACTCATTATATAGATAAATTCTTGAAAGTGGTTATTCTGATAATTGCAGGCATTAAAAACTTGAATAGATTAGAGTGCCTTAGTCTTATTTAAAGTTCACACGGGTTATACAGGCCTTTTTTTAAAATCAGCTTTTATTTGTTTTAAAAATATAAATAAGTCATAAATATTATCTTTCAAATAGTTTAAAAACATAAGGTATACAACAATTTTTCTGGGTTCTGAAAATATTTTTTTGTTGAGTACATATTAAATAAGTTGCTATTCTGAATAGTACCATTAGAAAATTGCTTAAATTATTTCTAAATATTGAAAATATAAATAAGAAACATTAGAAATTAATAAATATTTTAAATACAATAAATAACTTCCTAGAAGGAAATAAGAATGTATATAAATGCAAACCATTGTTACTATTTCTGGTTCTTAAAACAGAACAACACTCTTGTCTGCCACATGACAGATGTGTAACAAAGGATTGTGCCTGAACTAAAACATTTAGGCACTGAAACTCCTGGTATTTTTCAAATAGCGCACAGCCCTCACTGTTTTCTCCATAAACGAAGTAAAGTCTCGGAGGATGAGGTGGGTGGTGATTTTCTCTATCCAGGTCTTACTGGACTTCAGCTTTGTGCGGAGGGATTCCTGGGTAGCTGCATCTGGGATGATCACTTCTTCGGGATTGATCACCTATGAAAAAAAGACAATATTGGGGGGATCCTGGTTAAAACATTGTAATTGAGCTTGTTGGAGAGCATCAGTTTGTGTATTCCCAACCAGCTGCATATCCACACTTTCTGTACTGCAGACAACAGCCCTCCCTGGGAGCTGTGCTTCTGTACAGCCATGCTTCTGTGGAGGGCTTTGAGCAATGCTGATGCCTGCTACGATTCCTGTGTAAGAATCTCTGATCTATACTGTTTGCTCTGGTTTGAATGCAACGTCTGGCATTGTGGTCCCACACTGCACTGAGCAGATCAATGCACCTCTCCTGCTGTCTGTTAGTCTTGTGGGGAGGTGGGAAGGCCCTGATCATGGTTTGTTCTAACCTGTACTGGCTGCTCCATCCTGAGTTACAGAAGCTGACATTGGGAGTAAAAACTCTCATGTTTTGTAGTAGATTAACAGTTTTCAAAGATGTCAAATTTGTTTAGTTGCTTAATTCTTACTTTCCAGGCATTTAGTCACAGAGGAGACTGAGTGCCGCCAACTTTCACTGATGTGTGGGAGCACAACTACAAGATGAGTGAAAGGAGTTATGTACTTTATTATTATGCAAGCCTCCTTCTGGAACATCTTTTTTTTTGTGAAATATAAAATATAAATATTCTTTCTGTCCAGACTACTTGGAAGTGGATTCTGATCACACCCCCTGTTACTGATATACCCAGCTCCTTGTTGCACTCTGTAAAAGTTTGTGTCTGGATATCCAGACAGGTATTGTCCTGGTGGATCTATCTAACCACAAGTGACAGATTCTTGCCTTAAATAGCAGATTTTTCTCTCATAAAGAAAAATTTCCAACTTGAAGATGAAGACTTTTTCTCAAAAATTCTGTAGTTTCTACAAGCACAGGTTTTGCTTTTGATCACTGTGTTTCATTCTGCCTGTTTGATTACATTGATTCTACTAATTTTCCAAAAAAAACCCCTAATTTCCCTCAGTTATGAAACAAACTTTCTGCAAACTAATATATCAAGTTGGAAGCCAGTAGTCAGTTGCTGTCTTATGATGGGACTATTATTCTCAGCTAGCACTGTGTGAAAAAAGCAGTTCAGCTTCCTTTCACTTTAAAGAATGATGGGCATAAATCAATATGTTAGGAAAGGTATGGCAGACAAACTGGACTTTTCACACACCAAAAATCATCTTGAAGGAAATAATACCCTGAGACTTTTGCAGTCCTTACATGGATGGTTTTTACTTGGGCAAATAGATCCCCCAATGACAAAGGAAATATTTATGTTAAGGATTTTTAATGTGAGCAAGAACTACAGGAAATAAGTGAATTTTTGAAGTGTGATCTTTCAGAGCTCTCCAAAACATGGAAAATGTCTGTCAGAAATAAGTAGCATTTAGTTTACCAAATCAAAATAGCATTTGTCAAGAAAAGGTTTTTTTCCCATGATCATTACAAGCAAAATATGTGCTTTTTAATAGGCAGCTATCTTCCTTGATTTTTAAGCTACTGATAGATATTTCAATATACCATACAGCTTGGCTTAAAAGTTTGTTTTGGAGAGTTTTAAAGATCAATACTGTTGTAAAAATGTATTTGCCTTTTTTTAAATGCATTTAATTGGTTTGGAAATTAGAAATTCAATAGAAAGTAGGAAGAAGAGTTGTTCTTTAAGAAAAGAAACCAAAACTTTGTAAACCCTCTAAATTAGTCATGAGGATAAGGAACTGTCACCTGTTGTTTCATTGGGAAATGTTCAGCTTCGCATAGCATCCTCTATCTCTGACTGCACATCAGTATTAAGCCATAACAGTTATCAGAGTGAATTTAAAACCAACTCACCATTTGTCTTATGGTATGTGCCAGGTGCTCTGTACTATAGCATAGCGATTCAAGGTTTTGGTTTTCACTAATAAAAGTTTCTTGCACATATTTGAGGTATGTCTGAAATGTATAAAGCCCGCTGGAGATTTTTTTCAAGCATTTATCCTGAAATGAGAGAAAGGTGAGAAAGTCACTTACAGCTCAAAACGCCTTGATCGCAATGCTGTGTGCAGGTTAGCAGATGATGCTTATACAGAGTGTGGAGGTCTGGCTAAAGCCAGCTGGAGCCGGCACAAATCTTTAGGTCAACTTCCACAGGTTTTTTTAGCAGGCAAAAGTTGCCCCAGGCACATAGGGTTAGACCAGAAAGGAGTTCCTTGCCTCATCGAAGCCGGCATGCAGACACCCGTCTTCCTCCGTCACTCTGGGGAGGTTGAGGTTGTTCTGGAGGAGCATTTCCACGCTGTTCTCGCAGACGGTGAACTTCTCGCACATCTGGGGAGAGACACCAAGAAGTTTCGGTCGCGCCTTGGCCGGAGGCAGCCCCTCCCGGGCCGAGCCCGCGGGCCGCCCGTACCCACCTCTCGCTGCAGCTGAGCCGCCCGGTCGCGCAGCAGCTGCGCCAGCCGCAGGCTGTGGGGCAGCGCCGCCCGCCGCGCCGCCGCCTCCTCCGGCTCGGCCTCCCCCGAGGAGTCTGCGGCCCCGGGCAGCGGGACGGCTCCGGCCCGCGGCAGCAGCAGCAGCAGCAGCGGCAGCAGGAGGATCGGCAGCGCGGGCTGGCGGCGGCCGGAGCGGGCACGGGCGCAGCCACAGCTCGGGGCGAACTTCATCGTGCGGCTTCTCGGCTCCGGCCCCGGCCCCTTCTCGTCTGCTAGGCTGGCGGGTTGAATGAGCTCCGGGCATCCCTGAACGTGTATTTATCGAGGGGGCTTCGAGATTATTCATGGCCTGGGAAAATCCGGCATGAGAACACGGAGGGGGGGGGGGGGGGTGCTTGAAGGAGCGTGCCGGCTTGACATGTTGGAGAGCGGGATTGTGAAACGGGGCCGGTGGGAACATGAAGTAATCCTGCTCCGTAATTCCTTGACGGCTGGGCTGCCCCCTGCACACACCGCCGGCTCACCTGACCCCGCGGGGTCTCGGCCGGGGCCAGAGCTGGAGCCCCCGTGGTCCAGCTGTCTCTGAGCCTGCCAGCTCCAGCCCCACAGAAAGGCTTGGAAATCACCTACCTATTTTACATGCATACACCATATGTGCCATATACTTTCTGGTATTTCAATATTTTAAAATTTATATTTTGATATTTTATGTTTATTTAAAATATATGGTTTAATGTTTTATGAATTTTGTATGATGTATATTTATCTCTGTATTTCGGCTATTTTTATTGTGTATATATATATATATATATATATATATATATATATATATATATGTGAAACTAAACACCCCTGTTTAGGTGCAGGGTATGTACAAGTTGTAAGTTGCCTCTTCCCCTGTGAACTACATATGGGTAGATTAAATACATCATGTTCATATACTTTAAGTGGACCAAAACCAGCTCCCACAGCTCCAGCAGGAGGGTGGCTGCAGGAAATGCCATGAAGTTCCCTGTTATCTGCTGCCTTATCTTTTTCTGCCTACCTGGTCAGTGTTGCAGGAATTTTAACCTTTCAGAGGGACTCTTCACCCAGGGCAAGTGTGCTTGTTTAGATCAATCTTGTAGAATGCAGACTGAGTCAAACTGGGCAAGGCATGCTGACATTGAACTTCTGGAATGTCTCGAACTGATTTTGGCCAAACTGACTTTTTTTTTTTTTTAATATGAAATCAGTTCTGTTTTCTCACATAACGAAGACCAGAGTGAGACCTTATTCTCCTTTGGGAAGTGCTAACAGGCGGGTGCAGAGTGAGGAGAACAGAACATGGGGCATAAGAGAGGTGATAGACAATACAGTGACTGAACTTGGGTGTCCTCATTTGGATTCTCCCTTTAAAAAAAAACAACAGATACTTCTAATTAATTTTCAGCTTGAATTCACATTCAGCTTGGATAGAGAGCCTCAGGAAAGAAGCAGGGTACTACTATTTGTTATTTAAAGTCTTGTTCTGCCAGTAACAGAAAGGGAGCTGCAGTAATTTTGCCCAGTTGAGAGATATTAGGGCTGGAACACAAGTGTGAGAGAGCAGTTTTCAACTGAAGCAATCCGTCTCTGCCCAGGTCCCTGAGCACAGCAGAGGGGATATTGCCAGAACAGTATCTACTGTAATGTTAGCTCTCCCTTACTAAGTCTGTGGAGTTAGGCATAGGAGAAAGCATACCGCTAACGGTACATTTGACTAGTATCAATTAAAAGATCCTATTGCAATGGTACAAAAGGATTAAAACAGCCAGACCAGATGAGCTCGGTGCCTGGTATTTGCCTTCTGATGACCATCAGAGGCAGGTACAGCAGGGAAGGAACTCCTGCCTACCTCTTTTTCCATTTGCCATAGCATATGGATGTACGTGTCTCAGAGAGGGATTTCCTTCCGCTGCCAGACGACTCATAGGCTGTTCCCTGCAGACAGTCAAACTTTTCCTTTACCTAACCAAAGTGAAAATACTGCTCTTAAAATGACCAAAACTTGGTAGAAGGTTGTGTTTCCTTCAGAATTTTTTTCAGCAGACATTCTGTAATTGAGTCTTGTCTGTAACTCTGTAAGTTTTAATTTTGTAACCTGATTTTATGGGTTGTCATTTTCTTATTATGTCATGAAAGTATCTATTCCTTAGCAATTTTCAGAGAACCTTTTTGTGATGATCACTGTTATACAGTCTTGATGATGTGTGTAGTTACATTTTAAGAGTGAAATAAAAGCAAGTTTCAACTGTTGTTCCTCACATAAAAGTCTCTAAGCCTTCAGTTATTATTTTCTCATTTTGGGGTTTTGTTTACTTTTTTATATGAATGTCCATGTGACTTTTCAGAAGTACAAAGTATACTTACATGCTCCAGTGGAAGTTGCTCATTAATGCCTTAGAAACTCCATTTGATAATCTAGGACAAAGCATAGCATTCAAGGGAAGAAGGAACTGGAATTTACACAACAGCATTAAAATACTTCTTCTATTGCTGGGGACAGTTTCTTATGGAAAATCACTTATTTAATTGGTACTGTACATAATAGAAATACTTTGCACTGATCTATCCATAGTAATGGTTAAAGTTTGTGGAGTGCTTAAAGGAGGTCAATTAATCCACACTGTACTACACTGAGTTACACTGATTTATCAGTAGTCACGTTGTTCAAAATGTATTAAGCCCTGAACAAACAGCACTTGCTCATGAGTTAGATACAGGTCAGAAGATCTGCCTGGTATTTGAAATGCATGAGTAGTATTGCTGAGACTCTAAGTTGTAGTTTCTAGATACCAAGGAATTTCTTTCCTGCATAACATCTCTGTAATGCTGCCGATTACTGTTCTTTTTATTTCTATTGCACTTCATTTCACTGTGCAGGTTATTTTTTTCCTTGGCATTTATAGTATCAACCAGATGGCTGCATTCTGACATGTAAAACCTTCCTAAGGTGTGATTTCAGAAATTCTCAGTGTTTATCCAACTTTTTCTTCTGTCCGAGAAATGAGAATTACTCCTGTAGATTTCTGTAGGAGCAAAGGGTCCAGTTCTGAATGTTCTAAAAAATCTCTCCTCTCACACTTTCCACACATGAAATTGTTCCTGATTGCAGTCAAGTGTGAGTTTATAGGCAGGGAGCCAATCCAGAATCATCCCATGTGTCAATATCTTGTTTTCTAGGATCAGTGTGCAACTCACTGACCTGTTCTGGAACAGGTTCTGTTTCTTCTAGAATTGCTCTGCCCGGGAGCAAGCCCATGCCACTTTTGCTCCTGATAACCTGGGAGAATTGTAGAGAGGAGGCTGTTTTCAGGAGAGGTGTTTGACAACAGCATGGAAATGGTAGTGCCACTAAAGAATTCAACAAACTGCAGAGCTGTCACGGTCAAAGCTTGTCTCCCCTCTTCTGTCGGCTGTCAGGCACATGTCTGCAAGGAGCCCTACCGTGGGGCAAGGTAAAACACAGCAGCAGGAGACCTTGCTTGCTGAATGCTGTGAGTCAACTAAATGGCTACATAAATGGTATTTCTAAATAGAAAAATAAGGTATTTTAGTAAAGTAGAATTACTAGGGTTACAGTATGATCCACTTTGATTTGTGTGTTTGCTTTGACTGTCTTTCTCTTTCTAATAATCTCCACTATGCTACAGTATTAAGACAAACCACTGATGCTTATTGGGGGATTATGACTTTAAATAGTACTGTTGATAGTAAGAGATGAAATACAAATGGAAATATGGTGTTCTTCTATAGAAGTGTTAGATTTTGTGTCGAAGAAAATGCCAATTGTCAGAAGACTGTTCAAGAGGGATCATGACAGTGACTGAGCAAATAACTTCCAAATGTCTTGAATGAGGTTGGAAAGCTGATGTCCCCTGACATATTTTTGGTTGAATTCCTCAAAGCTTAAAATGAGGGAACTTGAGTTCCTACAGATCTTGTAAAGAATGTCAGAGTTCTTTGTAGTGTTAAACCAAGCTGCCCTGTGCTGTATTTGAAGTGAACAGGTTGAACAGGTCAGTAATACCCTGTGTTCATGTTTCTTATAAGCAAACATTGCTTTGACAAGCTGCATGTCACCAAAGACCGATGGAGCACTTGACTAGCAACCTGTTGCTTTTGTGGCTTTACAAGTTCTTTGGTTCTCTGTTGGTTGTTTGCCAGGGAACTGCAGAGCTCTTTGGGGATTTTTTGGTGAAAAACTGGGGATTGCTCATTTTTCTTTCCTTAAGGAAAACATGCATCATTTTTAAACAAGACTAGGTCTTATTACAATAAGACCTAATTTTTTTTCTTTGAGTGCATCATATGCAAACACCATGGATTTTCTTGCCTTCAGCTAAATCAGAGGTCTAAAGGAAAAATACTTGCTTACCTTTAAATTATGTCCTGGTTTTCAGCTTTATCTGCTTCCTTTCAAGAAGAAGAATCATGCCATGGTCTTCTCTAGTCAACTTCCAGGCATGCAGGCAGGCAGTCCTAGGAGAAAGAGGTCCTAAGGATAACTGTTCTTGGGGAATATCTGAATGGTACAAGTCACTTTAAGTAGACACATCTTCAAGTCAAAATGATTTCAGGCATTTTAATGCTGGAATGGGAACATCGTGACACTTGACAGTGAAACTAGATTTGCACTAGGAGCACTTTGCTGTTGTGGCTGCACCAATAAATGGCATCAGGAAGCAATTCCACGAACTTTTCTTATGGAATGAAAGTAGCTGTTACTTTGTCTCTATCACAGTGCTGTGTGTGGTGTGGTGGGTACCTCTTCACAGGGCTACATCAGGCACCAGATCAGAGAACTGGATGAGTTAGGAATACCCCAATGGCCTTTGGTCTTTCACAAGCACACTTTCACAGTACCTGCATGCTGTTATCTGGCTTATTTGTGAGCATTGCCCACTGTGGTAACACGCTGTTTTGACAAGGATCCCATTTGATGAGTATTGTGTTTTGAATTTTGTAGGGCTGTACTTCTAAAGAAAATCTCCTTCCCCTTTTAAAAATAAACTGAGTGTAAATTCCACTTGTGTTCAAGGAACCTGTTTGTTCCCTTTGAGCTCTCTAAGCATAAAAGATGAAAATTCAAAGAAATTGTATGACGAAGCAGAAAAGTGAGGGGAAGTCACGGGGGAAGATGAAGAAGCTGAAAAGAGAACACAATGAGGAACCTGAGTGTATGGGAGGTACTGAATGGTGTAAGTATT